TACGAACTTTATTGCCGCCAGGCACAGAGTGCTTCACAAAACATGTTTTAAATTACCATATATCTTGTCACTTGATAACTTTAATGCTTACTATTATAATAACCTTAGCCCAGTGGTTTCCTGGTTCATCCTTGCCAAGACCTCACCACAGTAAAAATATATTCTATATGATGGCAATGTAGGCCAAGCAAACAATTCCTAACACAAGGATTTACATTAAAAATACGAACAAATTCATTATTTATATGAAAAAAAAAATCTTATGTGTATGGCTGTAAACCTAACAGTTATAAACAAAGATGACCCAAAGGAGCAAGGTACTTCACATTCGAAACTCCAATGGGTCAACACAAAACTGCCCCCCCCCCCTCCCCCGGTTTATTTACCTATGTGTCATAAAATGCACTTCACAAAAAAATTATTAATTTATCGCACTCCAGCCTCGATAAACAATAAAGTATTCACCAAAATAAATCACTTCATTACGGACCCTCTTTCAGTGTTTAAAAATTGCTACGGCGCTAGCTCACCGATCTTATTTAAAAGATAAACTTGTAAATAGCTACCACCACCCCCACCCCTACAAAAAAGGAACAAGAAGTACATTTTACCTTCTCTAGTATATTATTATATATCTTTTTTTAATTTGCTTATTGTCAACTTATTTGTGATGGAGCATATGTGCTTATATGAAATTTATGAATTCTCTGTCAGTGCTTACAAACAATGAACTTTGAAAGAATTCCTTTTTATCACAAATGATTGATTGATTGATTGTATATTGTTTAACGCCGAGTCGGCAATTTTTCAGCCATATTTCGGCGGACTATTAGGTTAATTGATCGGTAAAGTTTTTGGTTTCTCTGGCGGCCCCCAGTGAGCCTACTCTTTTTCGAACTCCAGAGAAACGATCTTTTATGTGCCAAGGGGGTTGTTATCCTTGACACGGGGCACCATTTAACGTCCCGTCCGATGGACTTAAATATTTTTTAAAAATATGTAAACTGTTAAAAATATTGTATAAACGTTAATAAAATGTAATGATATATGTACATGTATTTCTCATTAAGATTATTTTCTATACATGTATTTTATTCAAATTTTACTATAATAATCCGTTTCTTGTATATATTCTAAAATTTTGTAAACATGAACATTTGTAAAAAGTTCATACATTGTTTTTACACTTCCAAAAAGTCTACTTCGAATAGGTGTAAAATCGGAACATTCTAAAAGTATGTGATTAATAGTTATCGTACACTGGCTGTGACTCCCGATTCAATAAATATTCATGTGTAATTTTTGAATGCCCAATACGTATTCTTGATATAATTACTTCGTCCTGACGTTTCAGACCGAAGTGAGGTGATTTGTTAACTTTGTTTTCAAAAGCATACTTTCGTCACAAAAATTCCAATATATTTGCCAAAGAGAATTAACATAAATTTTAACGAGTTATTTCAAATCGGTGTAAAGAATTTTGAATAAAGTAATTTCATGTTGAAGTGCATTTTTGGCAGCACTGTCAGCTCTAGTGTTTCCAGGGATGCCGACATGACTCGGAATCCAACAAAGGTTTACCGTTTTACCTTGTTGCGCCAAATGATAATATTGGATTAATATATCTAAAATGTAAAGTTGATCAATATTCTTATTTTGCATAGATTGTAAGCAAGATAGCGAGTCCGAAAATATTGTGAATATTTTTTCACTAGATTTTATATATTCAAATGCAAGTTGAATGGCCTTTGCTTCGGCAGTAAAGAGCATATTTTTGTTTAAAGACAAGACAACTTGTGTCCGATTTCTTAAATTCAGTTAAAGATAAATCTACAATTGGATTTATTAATTTCCATGGCGGTATTTCCGAAAAATTAGAAGGCTTTATAATATCCAAAGGTATTTCAGAATCTCTGATATGCTTTTTAGATCTTAGACCAAGGGGTTTTACATATGATTTTCTCTTATGATACAAGTCTTCGTACTGCGGATGAAAAACACAATTATAAGCAGGATTATTAACATTTGCTTTTACTTTCAAAATATACTGCAAAGTAAGTTTAATTCTTCGTAAGTCGAGAGGCGGTTCGTTTGCCTCAACATATAGACTGTCTTTAGGAGAAGTTCAAAAAGCTCCTAAGCACAGTCGGAGGCCTTGATGTGTATTGCATCAAGAGCTTTTATGTATTAAGTTCTTGCAGAGCCATATACAATACAGCCATAATCTAACTTGGATCTAACTAAAGAGCGGTATATTTTTAAAAGAGTATCTTTATCTGCCCCCCATTTTGTATTTGCAATTACTTTAACAACATCTAAGGCCTTTGTGCATTTTTCTTTTAGCATTTTCATATGTGATACAAATGAAAGTTTACTATCAAAAATTATACCTAAAAATTTTATCTCCTTAGCAACTTTTACAGGATTTCCATCTAGCAGCAAATGTGGTTCGTCATGAGCCTTCCGCTTAGAGCAAAAATGCACACAAGCGGTTTTACCTTTTGAAAACCTGAATCCATTTGCATCGGCCAAGTCTTGAATTTTATTTAGACAAGACTGTAATTTTCGCTCAGTATAATTCATATTTTTAGCTTTATAACAAAGAACAAAATCATCCACATATAAACTTCCATGCATATAATTTTTTCAGTACTTTAGCTAAGCTGTTAATTTTTATACTAAATAAAGTGACTGATAAAATACTCCCATGTGGCACACCCATTTCCTGTTTGAAACTTTCCGAATAAGTAGACCCCAAGCGCGGACTTTAAAATGTCTATCATTTAAAAAATTCTTGATAAAAATTGGTAAATGTCCTTTCAGGCCCATATTGTCGAGATCTTCTAAAATGCCATGTCTCCATGTAGTATCATATGCTTTTTCCAAATCCAAAAATACAGATACAACATGCTCTTTTTTGATAAAAGCATCTCGAATATAGGTTTCCAGTCTTACCAACTGGTCAACTGTACTTCGTTTTTTTTCTAAAACCACATTGTATAGTAGATAAAATATTATTGGTTTCAAGAAATCATATGAGGCGTTCATTAATCATCCTTTCCATGGTTTTACATAAGCTGCTTGTTAAAGCAATTGGTCGATAATTATTTGGATCCGTATGATCCTTTCCAGGTTTTGGAATAGGAATAATTGTAGCTTGGGTCCAGGGAGGTGGAAATTGACCTCGCTCCCAAACTGCATTAAAAATTTTCAAAAGACATTCTTTGCTGTTGATAGGAAGGTGTTTAATTATTTGGTAATGAAGCTGATCTGGTCCTACAGCTGTATCATGAGACTTTTCTAAGGATTTTTGAAGCTCGTCAATAGTAAATGGGTGATTATAGCATTCGTTGTTTTCAGATGTAAAATCTAACGGTTTATTTTCTTGAGATGTTTTATGTTTACTTCAATTTAGGGCTCACATTTTTTGTGGAGGAATTTTTATGAATTGTACTAGCTATTTCATTGGATATTTGTTTTTTATCCGTAATAATTTGATTTCCAACCTTCAGATGTTGATATTTTTCAGGACCTTTTCCTTTAATTTTCCTTATTGCGTTCCACACTTATTGAAAGGAGTATGTGAATTAAGGTTGGACACGAACTTTTTCCAAGATTTTCGTTTATTAAAATTTATAGTTCTCCGATCTTTTGCTCTAAATATACGAAAATTGCTTAAAGAATTAAGTACGGTAGTAATACTACGAAGGCCCAAGGTTTTCTTGATTTTAATAAAGCATTAAACCCGAAAACTTTTATCATGCAAAGAAAATTAAGTACTCATAGATGTCATATATACATTATAAAATTTTTGAAACTCGCTACATCGAAGTCCAGAGCAGGCTGAATATTCCGTTTTTTCCGGAAATACCAATTTTCAACACAATTTTTATCATAAAATTGTAAAATTAAGATAGTGAACAGTCCTCGAGCAAATTCTAATGTCAATTTTCTGATTTCATACTTAAAAAAACAAATTTAATTTTCTTTTTGTGTTGCTCGAGGCATGTTCAGACCCTTTATTTTGATATTTTTGACGATTTCCGGTGGCGGATTCAGGAATGCACCAGAGCTACAGGGTGTTTCTTACGTCGGATTTTTGTACTCTGTCGATTATTTTCATAATGGATTCAACAAAGAAATGTTAAACATAAGGTAAGATATATATATTTACCACTTATTAAATTAATGAAAGATTTAAATTACCTGAACGACGAAGTAAACAATAGATAAATAATAGGGCCTAATGGACTGATGTCCTCGTTACATGTAGTTATGCATAGAAACGTATAGATGCTCGCTACATGCTTGCAAGATAAATAACAAAATATTATTTTTATTTCACAAAATTAACCTAAAATTTGGGTTATTAAGTGAATAGATAAATATTAGTAGCCCCCATGCTCTACACAACAGTACTGTCGTCTGCATATTGAAGGCGAGCATACATTCATGGCCCTTTTCTCGTATAAAAATTAATATCATGCTGTGGCTAGTTTGAAACTGCGCTTAGTATAATTTTTTACTCGTTTGACAAGACTTTGGTTAGATATAAAGACTATTATGACACATTTTGTAAACAAGGATATAAATAGTTCTGCAATGTCCTCCTTCTAAAATAATATAATGATTTTTAAAACGGGAACTTTCGTGCCAAGCGGCGGTAGCGTAATGGTTATCATTGCTGCGCGTTCAGGGCAATGTCAATACGGCAGAGGTTCGAACCCACGGCTTGACGATGAATTTTTTTTTTTTTTTTTTTTACTTTCCTTTGCATTTTTGAATTTTCTTTCTTTCTTTTTTTTTAAAGATTTCCCTTGCACTTTTGCATTTAAAACATATTTAGATTTACAGAATTTTTAACAATAAGTAGTAAATGCCTTATTATATTATGATTGAAATGTCAACACAGGTACAAAGGGATGGAGCCCCCCCCCCCCCCCTTTTTTTTCTCAGTCAATCAAAAACTCGAAACTACATTAAAAGATACAAGAAATTTTATTAATTTTGACTTCAATATTTCCTTACACTACTGCATTTTACATTTTATAATTAACTTACATTTTATATTTATTTCAGTACACATTATGGATCGGAATATTTATTGTATTCTTTGCCGTCAGCGTCACAAATCACAAGGAAGGAGAAAAGTGAACGAAATAACGAATAAGACTCTGCAGAAATATTTCTGTGTCTATGATATATCTGAATCCTCAGTTATATGCAACAAATGCTCACACATCTGTTACAAAAAACGGAGTGAAACTACAAAGACTGATAAACAGTGTGATGAAGATGAGTATCAACCGCCTCCTAAAGTAATGAGATCTCTACCAGACAGGAGTCCGCCATCGGTCAGGTTAGCTATTCCAAGCACAAGCACAGGCCACTCATACTGTTTCGTTTGCAAAAGACCTGGGCCAAAATTGCAGGTAGCCTCTACTTACACCCGCTTCAGGGCATACATTCAAGGAGAGATATTTATTCCCCCCGGGTCTCGGTGCTGCCCTGTTCATCTTGCAAACGACCAACTCTCCATTGAAGCTATGGAAAAAATCAAAACATTAAGAAAATCAAGTTGCTTAAATAGATCTTCAGTTCTGGAGCTGTTACAACAGGCGAGAGAAGAAGTTTTGAGAAAAGAGGGTTCAAGACTGGACTTTGATGATCCGTCTAGTCTAACTGACACCGACTACTACAATCTGACCGGACTTAGCAGGGAACAATTTGACGACTTGATGGGCAGCGTGCATAACATACGGACAACACAGTCTAGGTCCATCCGCACATGCATTGCAATTCTCTTGATGAAGCTGAGATCGGGCTTGGACAATCAGATGCTAGCAACGCTATTCAATATGACTAAATACCAGGTATAAATAAACAGTATTTATTAAAGATTTTATATTTTCATATGTACCAGTAATTTTGTATTGCATATTATGTATTTGACTTTCTGTAAGTATATTTAAAATGCAACTCATGACTTCACTTTTCATCAAGGAAATTAATATGAAAAACTCAATGGTATTTTTGCTTTGACTACTGAATTACCAAAATATGTTCATTGAAATGCTGTTTATTTTATCATAATATATAGATACGAAGAGCTGTGCATTCCGCTAGACGAGCGTTAGTGAAGGACTTTGTTCCCCAAAATCTTGGATTTGCACACATCACAAGAAACGATATCATTAACAATCACACAAGACCACTTGCCCAACAGATGTTCTCTACTATAGGATCAACACCTGCTATATTAGTCCTTGACGGCACGTATATTTATATACAGAAAAGTGGGAACTATACTTTCAGCAGGAGATCATACAGCATGCACAAGCATCGACCGCTTTTGAAGCCCATGATTATTGTTTCGACAACAGGGTTCATCGTTTCAGTCTTAGGGCCCTATCTTGCAGATCCAAAAAATAATGACGCCTCAATTTTAAACCACTCTGTGAAATCAAATACCGAAGAAATAAAATCTTGGATAAGAGAGGATGATGTTTTTGTCGTGGACAGGGGGTTCAGAGACTCTGAGGACATGCTGACAGATTTGGGAATAAAGGTCGAAATGCCGGCTTTTCTTCAAAAAGGAAAGAAACAACTAACTACGGAGGAGGCAAACTGTTCTCGACTGGTGACAAAGGTAATGCTTCTCGGCAATCACTTAAGCATAAAATTACACAAAATTAAAAATACATATTCCTGCAATATACTTGTATATTTTATGAACTATTGAGTTTATTTCTCAGTCACTTTAAGATTTTTTAATATTATTATAGAATATTTTGAGAATAATTTATAAAAAGAAGTTTTTCCTTCCTTGATTTAATTAGAAGTTTAATATTTCTTATATTTCAGGTAAGGTGGGTGGTGGAGTCTGTCAATGGAAGAATTAAAACCTGGAAATATCTCGGGAAGACTTTACCAAACACTCAAATCCCATATATCGGGGACTACCTACGCATTGTTTGCAGTATTTGCAACAAGTACCGCCCTCCTATTAATACAGGTGTTTTCGAAGAGGACCTTATTATAGCCTCGAAGATGACCGCATTGGCTAAGCAATCAAATGAACTTCAGTCGTTTGTGCAAGAAAATGGTTCGTAAAACCAATCATCATTAGCAATGTAGTTTATAATTCTTGAATATTAAATATAATTACTATGAATGAAATACTAAAGTATCTACAATTTTAAATTCTTTTACTGTTCTTTCAATTTAATTTTGATATGATAACCACATTGAATATTTAGGGACAGTTTTTATCCTTGCTTCGTTAAATTCTAACAAGCGACATATATCTTCAGGTCTGGATAAGCGGTCTATGAAGTGGCAGAAGTTAGATGCAGAAGAAACAAATACATGTATTGCATTTCCTAAACTCACGGAAGATGAAATCAGAGAGCTAACGATTGGTGTATATCAGCTGAGAACAGCAAAATCTTACTCCTCTGAACATTTCACTGATGATGGGTTGTTTGAGGTTCTGGTCAGTAATGAAATTCCAAACATCATCAGTGCTAGAATCCAAAGCCGCCACATTAGTTCTAGAAAGTACACTCTTTGGGTAAAGTATGACACTACAATCCTCTCATGGTATTGCACTTGTAAAAATGGCGCCCGTGTAGTTGGCATGTGTGGGCATATTGCGTGTGTTATTTGGTATCTATCGTATGCCAGGCATCAGGAAGAACAAGTCCGTGACTTTGGAGTTCGGGACTGGACGGAATCTGTAGAGGATGCTGCGAGAATTGTTGACTTTTCCGACAGTGAAGATGAGGTTTCAGTGGAGGATGAAGAAGAGTAAACTATAATCACTGCATCTTATTTGATTTATTTTACAAATATTAAAAACTTCAGATGTTAAAGGAGCCCAGACACATTTACAATATTTACAATTATCATTCCTATCTTAATAAAAAAAAAACAGTTTTATGAATCGAACTTACTTAAATGTTCTTAAAATTCAATGTCTGACAAAAACATCTCTTCTTAATAATATCGTGTCAGAAATCTGTGTTTGTAAACTGGGCACGAGCTCTGATATTGTTAATGTTTACATTTTACCTTTATTGATTATGTACTTTAAGTATGTTGTTGGCAGTTGAATTTTTCTGAAATAATTGTTTTTATTGAGGGTCATGTAGTTGTTATATTGAAATAGTATTGGTTTTTGAAAACAAATCTACCTCCTTCTGAAGTATGTTCTGGTATTTTTTTGTGAATTGGTTACCATGGAAACCATGCCATTTATAATGAAAACAAAACTAAGAATGTGTACTTAGAAGAAAATGTATCCCTTTATTCATACTTTAGAACAAAATTTTGCAGTGTATTATTTACGGTACCAACAAATGTACAATAATTATTATATATTGTATCAGAAGAAACTTTAAAAAGTTTCAAGAAAAGTGAAAATGATGCACAGATGACCCCATTTTTGATGACTTGCTGTGCATTATAGACTGCAGGTCCAAATTTAATTTTATTATTTTTTTATTTTACATATACTTAGGTATGTTTAGGCCAGTTATTAGAGATTTTGCACATTGGGCGGAATTTGACACATACCATACTTTCTTCTTTAGATATGTTGGTAATCTATTAAACTGTCTTTCTGCTTTTTTGCGAGCTTTAATAGCATCATTACATTCTTCTGTAAACCATGTTTTTTTTTTATTCTAGTAGAATTTGTCGAGGTTTTAGGTATGCATTTATTTGCAGTATTTAATAGTATTTCAGTAAATTTTTGAATTGGATCAGGCTTGTTTTCAAACTTTTCATCCGAAATATTTTGTAAACACATAGTTTCAAATTGTTTCCAATCACCTTGTTAAGTTTCCAGTTTTGAGTAGAACTATTTTCCTCGGGTGAGTTTACTTTAATTATAATTGGGAAATGATCACTTCCACATAAATCATCATGTACTGACCAACTGAAATCCAAGAGTAAAGAAGGATCTACCAAAGTAATATCTATTGAAGAATATGAACCATTACCCGGATGCAGGTAAGTGCTAGAGCCGTTATTAAGTGTACAAAGATTATGATGTGATATTGCAAGTTTTTTCCCTTTATATGTTATTTTATCGCTACCCCATAATGGATTATGGGCATTAAAGTCTCCCACAACCATAAATGGAGCAGGAAGTTGTTGTATTAATTTTGTTAGTTCTAAAGTTTGTAAATTATAGTTAGGAGGTACATACGCAGAGCAAATTTAATTGTTTTTTCAAGAGAAAGGCGTACAGCTACTGCCTGAAGATTTGTTTTTAAATCTACTTGGCTATGAATGGACTTACATGTATTGTTAATTGCTAGAGAGGTACCACCAGATGCTCTCTCGACTCCGTTTGAGCATAATGGTTGTACATACTATAGTTCTTAATATTAATTGTATCTGTTTCCCTTAAATGTGATATTTTAATATTGTTGTGATCATGTTAATTTATGCATACCATGAGCAAAATCTTTTCTGATGCTGCTCCATGTTTCATCAAAAATCAAATTATGCCGCCAAGAGTGTTTGTGATTCCCAACAACAGGTATGTTTTAGTTGTTATCTAATAAATTCACGAAAAATCCCGAAGAGTACGAAAAATCTTGGATTTTTTAGCAGATGAAAATAGCACAGTACAGTTGCTTAGTTCAAACAATTATTTAAAAAAAAAAACAAGCTTTGGTTTCACGATATTGTTCTTGAACTTAATTTCTTTTATTTTTCTTAAAATTTGGGAAGTATTACATGTGTATATAATTTCTCTTATCCTTGATTTTAATTTTTGGCATTCTGCCCGAGACTACAATATACGATTCTACGGTTGAGTTTCACTTTCCACTCGGCGAGCAGAGTTTTGACGCTGATTACGGAGATAAAAGAAAATAAAGACAAGCATGCCAGCTATGGTTGTGTAGATAAATTATCGTAGAAGACATAGGTATAAACAGTTTACCCGTGCATTTCCCCTGAAATTGTAAATGAGCGCGATTCTAAGGGAGGGGGTTCTCGGTGTAAATCGGAGTTAGATACCTTGTGTTATTATTATACTAATGGTCAAAAATTTATTACAGAAACAAGTGCCTGTTCCTTGCTCATAGCTATATAGGTAGTTCATCTGCTTAATACCTAGGTGCAGAGAAGAAAATTTTCAAAGAATGTATTTTTACTATATAATCAACAGATCCCTGCCTGAACACCAGAACCCCTGACCCTAGGGCCATAAAATTCACAATTTTGGAAGAGGCACTCTTGCTCATCATAACTATGTACTTAGTTTATTTAATACCTACGAGCAAAGAAGAAAATTTTCAAAGAATTCATGTATTTCACTATATAATCAATAGAACCCCGCCCTAACACCAGAACCCCTGACCCTGGGACCATAAAATTCAAAATTTTGGAAGAGGCACTCTTGCTCATCATAACTATGCACTTAGTCTATTTAATACCCAGGAATAGAGAAGGTTTTCAAAGAAATAATGCATTTTCACTATGAAATAATGCATTTTTAGCCCCGCCCTTGTACTAGAACCCCTAACTCCAGGGCCATGAATTTCACAATTTTGGTAGAGGACTCAATGCTGATAACAATTATGCAAACAGTTTGACTGCTTGATGTCCAGAAGTAAAGAAGAAGATTTTTAAAGATTCCATTAATTTTAGTGGTTTTGGACCCACCCCTCAGACCCCAGGGGGGCAGGGATCATGAAATTCACAATTTTTGTTTCCCTTCACCCAAAAATGCTTTGTGCCAAATTTGGTTGAAATTGGTTGAGTGGTTGCAGAGAAGAAGCTGAAAATTTTCAAATGTTAACGCACGACGACGGACGAAAACGGATAGCAATAGGTCATCTGAGTTTACCCAGGTGACCTAACAAACTAAATACATCCTTAGTTATAACGAGAAAGGTCCATTCTCCCAAAATTGTGAATTTCATGTCACCAGGAGCAGGGGCCCTATGAATATATATGAAATGCATTCAATCTTTGAAAATCTTCTCTGCTCATGTGTATTAAACAAACTTACTTAATGTATAGTACTGTTATGATGAAGAGTGTCTCCTCTAATATTGTGAATTTCAAATCCCCGGAGTCAAGGGTACAAGGGTTCTGGTGTTAGGGCGGGGCTTTATCAATTATATACTGAAAATGCATTAAGTTTTTGAAAAACTTTGTTTCTGGGTATTAAAAAAACTAACTACATAGATACATATGTAATTTGTTGTGAATCAGATAGAGTTTCCATTGCACCGTTTGTGGTTTCTGGTAAAATAGTGCGTACATAGTTGTGAATAGCAAGAACCCTCCATCCAAAATTGTGAATTTCATGGCCCCATGGTCAGGGGTTCTGGTGTTGGGGCGGGGTTCTTCTAGTAACAAGAGGCCCATGGGCCTTGTAGGTCACCTGAGTATCATGTAACAACTTTCCAACAATTGAATTTGATTCTTGTTTTAATCCAGAAGCCATGGAATTCACAATTTTGAAAGAGGCACCATTGCTTATCATAACTATACACTTACCATGCTTACTTTGATTACTCAATACCCAAAGGTAGATCAGAGTAACAAAGAGAAAATGCATTACCACTTTATCAGTTGTGCACCCCATCCCACAGGAACCACTGACCCTGGGCCCACATCTTTTAAAATTTTAAAGTTTTATAAATTTTAGTTTATCATATTGTTGATTAATACCAAAGTGCAGATTTCAAAGCATTAAATTATTTTCATACTATGTACCCCCCCCCCCCAAGTACCTCTGTCCCAGGTGCCCGGAAATTAACCATTTTAGAAGAAGCAGCTTTCTTCATCATAAATATGGACAAAGATCATTGGCATAATACCCAGGAGCAAAGGAAAAGATTTTCAAAGAATTCATGCATTTTCACTATAAAAACATTAGAGTCCCGCCCTAACACGAGAGGCCCTGAAATTCACAAACATCAAAGAGACATCCTTCCTCCTCATAACTATGTACATAGCTCATTGGTTTAATATCCAAGTGCAGAAAAGAAGATTTTTATAGAATTTATAAATTTTCACTATAAAATCAATAGAGCCCCACCATAACACCAGAACCCCCAACCCAGGGGCCATGAAATTCACAATTTTGGAAGAGGCAAAAATAATTCATTTTTTACTATATAATCGTTAAAACCCCACCATAGCAGTAGAACCCCTGACCCTGGGGCCACGAAATTCACAATTTTGGAAGAGGCAGCCTTCTTCAACATAGCTATGCAATTGGTTAGTTTATGGCCATGAAATTCACAATTTTGGAAGAGGCAGTCTTCTTTAACATAGCCATGCACTTGGTTAGTTTATTTAATGCCGACGAACAGAGAAGAATTTCAACGAATTTATGCATTTTCACTATATAATATATATATACCCGCCCTGCCACTAGAACCCTTGACCCTGGAGCCATTAGATTCACAAATTTGGAAGAGACAGCCTTATTCAACATAACATGCACTTTGTTAGTTTACTTAATGCCTACAAACAGAGAAGAATTTCAACTAATTTATGCATTTTCACTTTATAATTTATATATCCCCACCCTAGTGTAAAGAGTGTAAACATACTATGTACAATTACAACTTGTACTAAGTGTATATTAATAATCTTTATGTCAATTTTTTATACTGCTTTTCAGGCAAGATTCAGAATTTGATCATGTTTTGCTTATTCAAACCGAACATTCTTTTCAATTTTGTTTCTACTAGAATATATATAACATTCTTTCTTGTATTCACATTCGATCAAATAACCTGTTAATTATGTATATACACGGATTTCTTGAAACAACATTTAGCAAAGCGGAGTAACTATCATTTGCTTCGCTTAAACCATCATTGTATATGCTTATAAAAGGTGAATCATTAATACATTCTTTCAATTCATCAACAACATTTCCAGCTTTTTGTGTTATGGTCACAATTGTGTATTCTGTTTACCTGTTAGATACCCAGAAGCAAAGAAAAGGCACATGTACTTACAATCATATCTAATTCATCTATATTGATACCATTGCATTTAGTTTGCTTAGTACTAAGGGACATAAATGCAGTTGGCTATTTAATCAAAAGAGCCCTCCCAAAAATCCCTGACCCAGGGACCCTGAGATGCTTAATATTGGAAGAGGCATCCATTCTCATCATAACTACGCATGTAGTTTGTTTAATTAATGCCAAGGGACAGAGGAGATTTTCAAAGCGTTATTTTACTTTCTGTTTTATAATAAGTGTTAAATAAGCCCCCCCCCCTTCACCACCCCCTGGAAATTAAATGGACCCCCTCACCCATGAGCGTTAAATTTATATTTTTTTGGACGAGGCGCTCTTCCTATTCATAAATATTAAGAAGTTAATCGAAGTAATACCCAGGAGCAGAGGGGAAAATTTTCAAAGAGTTAATGCATAGACTAGCGCCTCGCCCTAACGGCAGAACCCCTGACCTTGGGTACATAAACGTCACAATTTTGGTAGGGGGCTCAATGCTTATTACAATCATGGAAACAGTTTGACTGCTCATAGTCCAAGAGTAAAGAAGACTTTTAAAGATTACATCAATTTTGATAG